CATTTCTTTCAGTTCTTGTATTTTTGGGGATTTTTTCTTCCATGTCTTTAAGGGATTTTCTCATATCTTCTTTGAGGGTCGCTATCATTTTCAAGAAGTTGCTTTTAAGGTCTTTCTCATCTGCTTCTTCCGCAATGGACTGTTCAGGTCTTGCGGGTGTAGATTCTCTAGTTTCTGGTGGTGTCATATTGGTTTTTCTGTTGGTGGGTGTGTTTTTGTATTGCCTCCTTCCCATCATTTCTTCCTGTGGGTGCAGAAGGAGTGTCTTCCTCCCCTGGTGGGTATGCGACCCCTTTCCAGTGGGTGGAAGCAGGTCAATACCCTGGTGGCTTTCCTCTTGCATGGATGGAGGCCACCCTAATATCGGGACCTTAGCAAACTCTGGGTAGGCTGGACCCTTGCCTTGCCTGTCCTGTGGGTGGTGACTGGGACTTGGAAGCTGGCAGTCGCTGGGAGGCCTGAATCCCGTCAGTGTGGGATCTGGATCTGCTGTTCCCAGTCCTCTGGTCTCAGTGGTTCTTCTCAGGCCACTGGAAAGCAGGCTCCAGATATGGAAATTTTTAAAAATAGAAACAATGAAAATAAAGAAAAGAAAATAAGAGGCTGGGGAGAGAGTTCAGTTGGCAAAGTGCCTTCCTCACAAGCATGAGGCCCTTAGTTCAGATCCACATTATCCATGTAAAAAAGCCAGATATGGCCACTACAACTGCAGTCCTAGTCCTTAGGGACTAGTGACAGGCAGATTCCCTAGAGATCGGTGGCCAGCCAGTTTAGCCAATTGGTGAGCACTAAATTTAGTGAGACACCCTGTCTCAAAAGATAAGGTGGAGAGTGATTCAGGAAAATGCCCAATATTAATCTTTGCCCTCCTTATTTATGCGCATACATGTATAGACACACCTGCATGCACACACACATACAGTGCACATGCATACATTCTATACATACACATATACATATATCAAAACCAGAAAGGAAAACAGAAAGGCCCTCTGTGGTGCTCCAGAAGTGTCCACCTTCCCAAGGACAACCAGGCAGCTAGAAAACCATTCTTTTTATATGTTTGTTTATTGGTTTGCTTTTTAGTTGTGGGGGTGGAGGAGGAGGCAGCTCATTTCTTTATGTTTTCCCATACTATGGGTTGAGCTTAGGGCCTTGCCTATGCTTAAGCAAGTGAAATCAGGAAATTAAGTACCCAACCCTAGCAAACCATTCCTATCTGTTGCTTAACACCAGTCATTTCAAAGAAACTCAGGCAAAGAACGGAGGGTTTTTTATTATTCTTTTAACTTTTATTGATTCTTTGATTCTTTGTGGATTTCACCTCATGCATCCTGATCCTATTTATCTCCCCATCCCCTCAAATCCACCCTCTGCTTTTGCAAACCCCCAAAGAATACAAAATTTAAAAGAAAAACCAAACCAAATCAAACAAAAAGTAGGAGAATCTTGTCGTGGAAGCTGGAGTGTGGCTCAGTGAGTCACACAGCTCACCCTTTAGTCCATTCATCTTCACTTGCAAGTGTCCATTGCCAGGAGTCATTGGTCTGGTTTGAGGCCTCTGGCTTCTGCTACACTGTCGACAATGGGCTCTCACTGGGGCTCCTTTTGGATATCCTGTTGTTGTCCTGTGTCATGGAGATCCTGCAGTTTTAGATCTGCAAGTCTGGCTCCTTCATCTGCTCCAACAGTTCATACCTGAGGATGTTGGGGTGGGCTAACTCATAGCGCTGGTTCTGGGCCTGGGTGGTAGCTGTGTTGGTCAGCCCTCCAGCTTTCCCTCATCATCACTACCTGGGCGAGCTCTCCAGCACTGCCTCAGCTAACTCACCCAATCCAGCCTGTAGCAAGGAGGGGGCCAGTTGTCTTGCTCTCAGGTCCTCAGATCTGGGTCACTCACACTCACACCACCAGGGCAAGCTCTTTTATTTTTTTCCAAGCAAGGTGCAAGGCTCTCTCTCCTGATTCCTGTAAGAGGAATACGAGAGGGGATAGGGTCAGCTTTCCTGCTCTTGCGCCATCAGGTCTGACTCAACTGAGGCACACACACACACACACACACACACACACACACACACACACAGCATGGTCAGCTCTAGTGTGCCCACGCAAAGAACTTTTAATTCAAGCAAATATAATGTGTCTGTGATGATGTATAACAATCACAATTACTACTGATTTTTAAAGCCTTTATCTGAGTCTGATAGTATAGCACTCAGCAGGCAAAGATAAGCAGATCTCTGTGAGTTTGAGGTCAGCCTGGTCTACATGATGAGTTCCAGGACAGCCAGAGCTGCACAGTGAGATCCTGTCTCAAAAAACAAAACAAACAAACAAAAAGCATTTAGTGTAAATCTGTCTACTTCTGGGACTTCACAAACTTATCTTGGCTTCTTGTCATTATAGGCAATCACTGTGAACATTGGTGTCATTGCTATATGTAAATCTAAACAATAGAGTTTTCTAAATAGCTGTCAAAAAACTGGCAAATTCAAGGCAACAAAAGGACTAGGAAACAAGAGTCTATAAATAGTCAAAGAAATTTATTATCAAAAAGAAAAGAAAAGCTGGGGCTGGAGTGATGGCTTATCCATTAAGAACATGAGCTGCTCTTCCAGAGGACCAAGGTTCAATTTCCAACAATCAAATGGCAGCTTGTACACTGTCTGTAACTCCAGTTCTACTGGATCTGACACTGTCACACAGACATGCATGCAGGCAAAACACCAATGCACACAAAATAGAAACAGCTTGAAAAACCGGTGAGAGCGGCACCAGCATATTTGAAGAACTTATAAAAAAAATTCAGGGCTGGAGAAATGTCACAATGGTTAAAAGCACTTGCTATTCCTCTAGAGGAGTGGAGTTTGGGTCCTAGTACCATGTCAGGTGATTCACAACTACCTATAACTCCTCCAAAGTCATGTGTTTGTATGTGTGAATGAACAAGTAATAAAAATAAACCTGTTTTGTTTTTGTTTTTGTTTATCGAGACAGGGTTTCTCTATATTGTTTTGGAGGCTGTCCTGGAACTCCCTCGGTAGACTAGGCTTTGTCTCAAACTCACAGAGATCTGCCTGCCTCTGCCTCCCGGGTGTTGGTGGCCCATGCCTTTAATCCCAGCACTTGGGAGAACAAGTGATGGAGAGATGCTCAGCAGTTAAGAGCACTGCTTGCTCGTCCAGAGAACCTGGGTTCCACTTCCAGCACCCACATAACCACTCACAATCCTCTGGAATTCCAGGCCCACAGGGATCTGAGGCCCTCTTCTGGCCTCTGAGGGCACTGCACTGGCGTGGTACAAAAGTACGCGGGCAAAACACCATACACAAAATAATAATAAAAACAAAAGAAAAACTAGAAACACATAGGGAAATAAAAGATAAATAGTTGTGAATAAAAATGTCCTGTTACTGCCCGGTGGTGGCACACACCTTTAATCCCAGCACTCGGGAGGCAGAAGCAGGTGGATATCTCTGAGGTCAGCCTGGTCTACAGAGTGAGTTCCAGGACACCCAGGACTACACAGAGAAACCCTATCTAGAAAAACCAAAAAATAGGAAAAAGAAAAAGAAAGAATGTCATGCTATGTGTCTAACTATAAGAAAACCCTGGGACAGGAGGTACCCTGACAATAGGAAGAAGCGTTGTGATACACCAAGCATCAGTGTCTCCTCCACATGTATAAGGGTGGGCTTACTTGAGTGTGCCAAATTGGTGATGGGTACCAGGAACGGCCTAAACTTTGGAGACAATAGATCCCAAATACAGATTCTTTTTTTAAAGCAGATACAGTCTCGCTGGATGGTGGTAGTGACGAACGCCTTTAGTGCCTGCACGCGAGACGCAGAGTTCGAGGTAAGCCCGAAAGACAGAATGAGATCCAAGACAGCCACAGCTACACAGAGAAACCCTGTCTCAAAAAAAGAAGGAAAGAAAGAAAGAGAAAAAAAGAAAAAAAGGGAAAAGGGAAAAAAAGACACAATCTCACTATGTAGCCCGGCTAGTTTGAATTGGCTATTTAGGTCAGGCTGGCCTAGAACTGGTTCTGTAGAACAGGGTGGTCTCGAACTCCCAGAGATGGCCTGCCGCTACCTCCCATAGATCAGTTCTTGACAGGCACACCAAGACAAAATGGTGCCCAATGACTGCAGGTTGGACTACTATGTAAAATGGTGGATACTTAAACTGTAACAAAAAAAATTGCTACTGGCTCAAGCTTCCCGGTGCAAGTCTTTCACGTCAGGTGGACAGAAGACCGCCCCCAAAATCTTCCCGCCTCTGCAGCGGAAGTGGGTTATCCCCTGGAAAGGAAGTTTGAAAAGGGACCCTCCCACCCACAAGGCTTTATAAAGAGCGTGAAACCCGGGCGAGCGGCAAACGGCTTTCGGGAGACGACGTGCACGAGCAAGGCAGTTCCTCGGCCCTGCACGCCCGTTTTTTTTTTTTCCAGCACAGAGCACACCAGGTCGACACACCGGCAGTGAGCTCCAAAGGTATGGATGCTTTTAAAAATTTGCAAAATTTTAATGTAGCTCCTGGTTCTTTTTGGGGGGGGTTGGTTTTTCGAGAGAGGGTTTCTCTGTGCAACAGCCCTAGGTGACCTGGAACTCACTCTGGAGACCAGGCTGACCTCAAGCTCACAGAGATCCACCTGCCTCTGCTTCCCAAGTGCTGAGATTAAAGACGCACCGTGTGCCACCAACGCCCGGGGCAGCTCTTGGTTCCTTCGGCTTGTCTTTGCGGTTAAGTCGGGATCTCGCTGCCCTGCAGCCCAGACTTGCTTTGCCCGTGCCTAAGCCCCCAGAATACAATGCAGGAATTAGGAGCGTCCATTTCACCAGCGGGAGGCGGGTTTCTTGGAGTCCATATTAAATTCAGGCCGTGTGCTCCTGTACAGAGTTGTACAGTTTTGTGGGACAGTTAATATAACTGCCACGATTTCCACCTGTCTGCCAATATGTTTCATTTTTTATTTAAGGCCCCGATTTTCTATTACGATGGAACAAACTTTACAGGATGCCTTGGAGTGGGTGAATGATATTATTGAGTCTGTCCAGCAGCAGCCCCCTCCAGCGAGACCCGCATCCAGTGGGGGAAAATCTATTCAGGAAAAACTGTATGAGATTTATTTGGAGGAATGCGAGAAAGAGCCTGAAACAGAGGGCCTTCGAAGCAATGCCAACTTGCTAAGAAAGCTTATGGAGAGAGAGGCGCTGCCGTGTTTAGTGGTCAACCTGCATGCGGAAAATCAGGGCTATTCTCTCCTGCTCAAGGACAAAGACGGAGCCCTTATAGAGCCCTTTCCAGTGCCCTATGTAGGACAGCAACTGTACAAATATTTGGAGGCTGAAGAGTTGCATCCTTTTCTGATCGATGCCCTGGAAAAATCCCCTGTGAATGTGTTTCACCATGGCTGTGTCATAGCAGAAATCCGAGACTACAGGCAGTGCAGTGCTAACTACCCTCCTAGGGAGCCTGGTGAAGAGCCTGCTGTGTCATCTACAGTGTCCTCGCCTGCTTACCAAATGCGTCACGTTCTCTTACGTCCAACGATGCAGACGCTAGTGAGTGACGTGGAGTCCATAGCAAGAGACAACAGTCAGTGGACCCAGGAAGAAAAACGTGACCTTGGGGGCCAAATGATCCTGGCTACAGCAGAGCCACTGTGTCTGGACCCCTCTGTTGCTGTGACCTGCACGGCCAAGAGACTGCTGTTTAATGAGCAGAAGATGAACACTGACCCCATGAGACAATGCTTTAAGAGGCATGCTGCATGCTCTCTGGATCCACAAGGGGTACCATCTGGGTGTGTGTGTCCGCCTGACTCCACAAAAATGAGTCCTTTCAAAAAGCAGGCACAAATGAGAGCAGATAACGCATCTGAGCTGAAGATTGGTGAAGCCGAGCCATGGAAGCAGACCCTCTGTGAACTGGCGGTGCCTTCAGAAATGGACATGCCTTCTCTGTCCTTTGATGAGTCAGAACCAACTGTCTCTGCAGTTCCTGAGGTAAAATATGATTGTATGTTTGATTTTGAGGATGACAGGCCATTCTGGGATATGAGTCCAAGTATCATGAAGACCCTTGATGGTCCACTTTTCGCTGATGAAATAGAGTCTCCTCCAGAGGGCAGAAGTGATAGCACCATGGATTTCCCTCCCATGTCCCTGAGTGATTATGTAGATGAGTTCATGGCTGGGATAGACCCTGAGCCTACAAAGACAGTGGATGTGTGCCAAGAGCCTGTCCAGAGCCAAGCCAGGTGTCCAGATAAGATGCCACAGGGGTTTGGTAGCTCAGTCTGCCTTCCTCAACCCTCCCCAGGGAAGAAGCCCACAACCAGCTTAGTGTTATCCTCAGGGTTAGAGAAGGAAAGCAGACCCCCTCTGCCAGGACAGGGCTCCTCAGCTGTCAGTCCCATGACACCACAGGCTGGCCAAGGCCTACCACCTGCTCCTAAAGCAGCCACTGAAGTTCCGCAGACCCCTGTGAAAATGAGCAGGGTTAGCACCCTTCCTCCGGCTATCAAACACAAAGCTAGGTCATCAGAAAAGAACCCCCAGATCCAACCCACCACCAGCACCACTAGTATGAGTGTGATCCGTATAAGGTCTCTGCCAAACCCTTCTGGGTTGGTGGGGAATTCAACCCAGGTCCTAGACAGCTCCAGTAGTGCCCGAGGTGCTGAGGGAATCACTCCAAGTAGCCTTCTACCAAACAGAGAGCAGGTACCTGGGCCAGCACAGAGACCTGTGAAGCCACCTATGCAACTCATTATAAATAATACAGCAAGTCCCCTAACCGTGAGGCTTCCCCCTGGTTCTATCATTTTGCGCCCACAGCCTAAAAAGTCATCCCAGGGACAGCTGCAGCAGCCACAGCAAATATATGTATTGATTCCAAAACAGCATCAACCACCCAAGGCCACTGTTCCCCCACAGCGACAGCCATTGCCACCAGCTTCCTCCCAAGGGTCTAACCATCAGCAGGTGTCCTTGCCAGCTCAGCAAACTAGTCAGGTTAACACTGAGCAAACTGCTCACCTTAACACTGGGAGAAGCAGAGTGGTTCAACAGACCCAGACATCAGTGGTGTGTGGGGTGGGTCCCACCCAGCATAGTGACAGGCAGAGTGCTCCTTCCCAGGGCTTCCAGCTCTCTGCTACCCTGGTAGAGCAGGGGCAGACTCAGACCCAGAATTTGCAGTTGAGAATCATACCACGCCTAATGACTGTGTCCACAGAAGACATTCAGCAGTCTGACTGTGGACCCGCACATGGGGAACCCAGTGAGAGCAGAACAGGAGGGCCACCAAACACCCCAAAGTCCTAAGTCTTACTTCTCTTTAAAATGTCCCAGCATTGGGCTAAGGCACTTCTCAGTTTTTATTTCACTGTGGGTGTTTGGAATGTGCCGATATATTACAGTTTAAAATGCAAAATATCAAAGCTCGATGCCCAAGTTTTACAAAGAAACAGGGAAGGGATTTAAAACAAAACAACTGGGGCTATTTTGTTTGTTTTGCTTTTCACAGTCATGTTTATTGCAGTGTGCTGGTGTGAACCCACATCCAAATTTTGTTATCTTTAGTGATTCCACATTGTCATTTCAATAAACACTCAAACTGCAGTAACACGGGGCTGGACAATGCTTCAGCTGTTAAGAGCACTTGCTGCCCTTTCAAGGACTGCAGTTTGGATTCCAGAGCCTATTTCAGGCAGAATGCAGCTGTCTATACCTCCAGCTCCAGAAAACAAGACACTCTTCTGGCCTCTGCTGCGATAGACATGCATGTGTCCCTGTCACACAAACATAATGTAAAAACAAAATAGGAGCTGAAGCGACAGCTTACTGATTAGGAACATTTGTTGCTTTTGCAAAGAAACTGGGTTTAGTTCTCAGTATCCACATGGTGGCTCACAACCATCTGTGACTCCAGCTCCAGGGGATCTGACCTGCATGGGCACCAGGCATGCACATGGTACACATACATGCTTGCATACATACATACATACATGCATGCATGCATGCATACATGCAGGTAAAATTCCCAAGCACATAAAATAAACTTAATATGTCATTTAATCGCAATAATATAGTTTTAAGCTAATAATTTACTAATAATTGAGAAGCTTATTATAAATGGTCATTAAAAACAAACACATATTTTGCTGTTGTAACAGTTTTTAGGATACAGTTCAGTATTAGTAAGTACAATCGCGATGTCGTACAATATAGTTCTAGAACGTCTTCAATTTAGGGATTGAAACTTTGCACCTGTTAACCATCAAATCCCCCACCCCTGATTCCCCCCCCCCCCCCCGTCTACTTATGTGCCCAGGAGTCTGCGTGCTCCCAGTGCCACACACGCACGGAAACACCAGGTGGCTACTGTATCACGCAGCCTTTTCCACTTGGCACGATGTCCCCAAGGTCCGTGCACGTTGTGCCTTGTGGCAGGACGTCAGTGCTTTGTGAAAACCATTCCCTGTGTTAAATATGTAAGGAAGTGACTTGTGAGCCTGGGAAAGTGTCTTTCAGGAGAACTTAGTATTTCCTAGTGTAAAAGGCCTGTGCGCAGAGTCTGCAGTGGAGTGCCGCAGTACACTGTGCAAAACTGATACCAAAGGAGACCAGAGGATACAAAGGAAGGTTGTCACACTGCGGTGGAGTGCAGCCTAGACATGCATTCCTGTGCAAGGGAGCCGGTGGCAGATTTGCTAACGTCCGCCCCAGCCCTCGGGAGGTTTCCCTGCACTCGGTGCTCTGACAGACAGACCCCAGCTCTCTTGCAGACCCTGCCACTGGCCTGGAAGAGTCAATCTGGGATGGCTTACTGTGGCTCTCCTTGTGAGGCCATTCACACGTTTTAGAACATTCTAGGTTACTTGCACGAAGGGAATGAGCACTTGGAAACTCGGTTTTCCTGGTCTGCTTCCCCAGTGCCTACAGCCTTCTGAGGCTGTGACGGGGGTTGTCCTCCTCCTCTGCCTTTCCCCCACGGCTTCTCCCTCACCAGCTGTCAGCGCTCTCTGCCAGATCAGACCATGTCAGGGCCCCTGGTTTCAGTGGACGCAACGGCCCTGGCCTTTTCACTTACTCCCTTTAGAGAGTGCAGGTGCGTAGGGCTGGAGAGAGGGCTCGGCCGTTAAAGGCTGGGCTCTCAACCAAATATGAGAGTGGAGGGTGTGACGAACATTTACCTGTGCCAAAGTAACACTTATGTTGCCATAAATACCCTAGCACTTATGACGCTGGCACTGCTGTGTGGCCAGCCCCTCAGTCTGTTTCCAGAACATGCTCAGCACTTCAAAAGAAGTCCTGGACCTATGTAGCACTAAGGGGAGGCCTCCTCGCCCTACCCCGGCCACTGGCAGCCACCGATTTGCTTTGTGGCCCTATGGGTGTGATTGTTCTCAGTGTTTATCTTAGGTGAATTATGAAGTGTTTTGTACAACTTTGTACATTTGTGTCTGCCTTTTTGCCTGGCATGTGTTTGATGTTTGTTCATCTTGTGCTATGTTCCAGCACTCAGAGCCTCTTTGACACAGCCACAGTCCCCTGTCTGTGTATGGCCTGATCTGGTTATCCATGTTTGGGCTCTTTCCACCTTTTGGCTACTGTGGGTCACGGTGCTGCCATCATTCATGTACAGACATTATTTTACTGCTTATGTTTTGTTTTGGTAACCCGTAAGGATAAGCTGCCTACATGAAATTTGCCTTTTGTAAGTGCACATGTATGTTTATTTGCCTTTTACCCTAAGAAGTGGAAACTGTCTGTTCTGAAAGAGACTAGGGAAGGGACAGCAACCGTGACCATCACTGGCATGAACCTGAGGTCCTGTCGGTGCTCTTTAGCAGAGATTCAGCCTCCTTCAAGCAAGCTGCTCCCGTTGGCCACCAGAGTGACAGTGAGCTGACTGGGGCACCCTGGACATCGCTAGGAGCGGAGCCTGCGCTGGGAAGGAGTGAAGCGGCCCAGTGAGCCGGGGGGCAAAGAGCGTAAGCCCAGCCTTCAGAGCAAGCAGACCTGAGCTCAGCGTGCTGCCAGATTTCATGCCCTTCCTCCTTGTGCTCTGTAACCGGTCCATTCCGGCACCATAAGCACAATGTTTGGCTTGAGAGATGTGTCCTTTCTTTTCAGACAGGCAAATAAATTCATCTTAGTTTGCAGTTACCACTTAGTGGCATCTGTTTATTTCCCTTCAATGATCCCCATTGTGGTAACAATTCGTCTTTCCAGGGTCCTATTCCCATATTTCTTACCTTCCAGCTGACAGCAATATAGGTATTTGTCTCTGCTGAATAAAGCACTGAAATGTCACCAGGTTACCCTGTAGGTTTGCAACAGATGAGTCTTACCAGTAATGGACACAATGGTCTTTGCAGTCTTTTTTGAGATTACAATATAATTACATCATTTCTCCCTTCCCTTTTCTCCCTTCAGAGCCTCCTGTATACCCCTCCTTGATCCCTTTCAAATTTATGGCCTCTTTTTCATTGTTATTGCATAATATATGTATATGGGTGTATCATCTTAAATAGATTAATACAACATGCTCAGTCTATATAATGTATAATATTGCCTGCAATTTATGTTTTCAGGGCTGACCATTTGCTAATGAATAACCAATTAGTATTTTCTTCCCTGGGAAAGAGTATTTCCTCCACTCTCAGCATTTTTTAGTTATCTGTAGTTCTTTGTATAGGGTTGAGACCTTCTGCTTTTGGGGTTTTGTTTTTTTTTTTTTTGGTTTTGGTTTTTTTACTTTTTTTCAAGCAGAGGGTTTTTTTTATTAGGGGAAAAGGATCATAAAAGGGGGGAAGGGAGGGGAGAGATCAGCCTCTGGGGATAGGAGCAGCAGGAAAGAGGAAAGGGGACAACAGAGAGGGAAAGAAAGAAAGAGAAGGAAACCTTATGTGTTAATAGTGTGGTTTTTGTTTTTGTGGGGTTTTTTTGGTTTGTTGTTGTTGTTGTCGTTTTTCAAGACAGGATTTCACTGTGTAGCCTTGGCTGTCCTGGAACTCGCTTTGTAGACCAGGCTGGCTTCGAACTCATGGAAATCCACCAGCCTCTATCTCCCAAGTGCTGGGATTAAAGGCATGCACCACCACTGCCCAGCTTATTGTGGGATTGTGTGTGTGTGTGTGTGTGTGTGTGTGTGTGTGTGTGTGTGTGTGTGTGTGTGTGTACCGGCCACGGTGAACTTGGGGCAGTCAGAGGACAACATATGGGAGTCAGTTGTCCCCCTCCACTTGTATGTTCCAAGGATCAAACTCAGGTTTGGCAGCAAGTGCTTTGGGTGCTGAGCCACCTCACCAGTCCTGTAGTTCGAGACTAGCCTGAGCTACAAAGTGAAGCACAGTCTCAACACTGTTCCACAAAGTAGAACTATGAAGTTGCTAAGATTTTTATCCTGCTTGTAAGACAAGTTAGCCTGCTACCATTTCATGGATTCTGGAAGGAGCCACAAGCTCAAAACAGGACATTAGTATTTCTAATGTGACAAGCACCATGACAGGGGTTTACATTGATTCCTTTCTCCCTGAAGTCCCATGAAGGCAACAGGGATATGGGCCCAGACAGTGGGTGTGTGTCACAGCTGAGGAATCCAAGCATAGGAAATAGCAGTGTTTAATTAATTTTCGATTTATTTCTTTTACATGCTTGGGCATTTGCCTGAATGTATTTCTGCACCACATGTGTGCCTGCAGAGGTCAGAAGGTGGCATCTGATCCCCTGAAAGTCAAGTGATGGATGGTTGTGAGTCACTATGTGAATGCTTGGAACTGAGTCCCAGGTCCTCTTCAAAAGCAGCAAGTTCTCTGAAGCACCAGGCCATCTTTCTAGTCCCAGGAAACAGCAGTGTTTTAGAAGAGGCTCTTGAAGGAGATAGTTTAGTCCTGAGCTCCATAAGGCCATAGTATCTCTATCTCCTAAGTTATACAAAGTTCTGGAAAAGTAGGTTTAGGGACCTGGGGATGGCTCTGTACTGCTGCCTCCTTCAGACCCCCTCTGTCAGCAGGCATGCACCTGATGTACACACACACACACACACACACACACACACACACACACACACACGATACAGGCAAACATTCATGTACAAGAAACAAAAGTGATTTTTTTAGGCTGGGAGAGATGGCTCAGTGGTTTGAGTCCCGCTGCTCTTGCAGAGGACTCGAGATTGGTTTCTAGCACCTCAGCTGGACCAGCTCACATCTACCTGGAACTCCAGCTCCACGGGACTCTGTGGTCACCCCAGGTACATGCACCTAACACACACACACACACAGAGAGAGAGAGGAAGAGAGAGAGCACAGAGAGAG